TCGCATTCGCATTCGCATTCGCATTCGCATTCGCATTCGCATTCGCATTCTGCCAACGGACTCGAATTTTCCCAAAGCGATGCTGGCTATCCGTCCGCGTGTTCTCAACATCTTATGATCTCATTCCTAGTCCGGTGTCGAAACAAACTTTCCCTGGGGCCACCTTAGTATGTATCGAGCAACGAAAGGCGGGAAGGAGCAGTAAAAAGCTCGGAGCGTATTCCGTGCGAAGCTGAAAGCTCACTGCAAAATAATCTGGCCGGATAATGTCATATGGAGAATCAAAATATCGCACCGGTGTGGCCGACTGTGAATGTTTGAACACCTCCATGCCTGTGTATTGTGCCATGCTATACGAGGGTAATCTTTCAGGCCACAAACTTGCTCGTAGCGCTACTTCGAAGCTTTTTATCCTACTTTCAAAAGCTGCGGAGCTGCCATTTTAATATGCGCGACATTTACTGTCCGTGCACTAACGGCACACTCAAGTCGTGGGCGCAGCGGTTGAAACGCTGTGGCCGCGAGGACCGGTGACTGCGAGGGTACCCGGATGGCGATCGCGATGGCACGTGACATCGGAAGACGTAGAGGTGGCTGCGATTGGTCGGAGGTGAGGACGAGGACCCGCACAGTCAAGGGGGCGACGAATGCAACATTTAGCCCAGATTTCTCTCTCTCCCCTTTCTCCCGGGTCCGTGCTGCCCTACCCCTCCGTTTCCCCTTCCGCCGTTTCCCCTCCTGCTGTCGACGTCTGTAAAGTCTTCAAGGAGAGTGTTTGCCTCTTGTCCTCCTGCTTGAATCGATTTCACTTGCCCCTTGATCAATCGACGAGGCTCGGGACGACTCACGACCGTTATGCGACACCATGATTTGTATATCCGTGACGATGCGACCAACTGCGGGAACGGAGGAGGAGCAGAGACCTATACCGCGCTGCGGATAGCCTCGATCTTCATTATAGGAGCAACCTCCAGCTTCGGCGCCCTTTTTCCTGTCGTCGCCCGCAAGTCGAAGTGGTTGAGCATGCGAATGCCGAATGCCGTATTTAAAGTGGCCAAATATTTTGGGAGCGGGGTCATCGTATGTTGAGTCCTTGACATCTTTGAATTTCTTTTCTGATGTTTGACGATTTCGTACCTCTTGCGACGTGTCAAAATTTCCTCGAAAGATTGCCACAGCGTTCATACACCTTTTGGATCCTGCGATGTCTGAACTTGGCTCGCCATGTCTCTCACCTGCATGGCAGGAATACGTACGTACCACATACTTTCACCTATTCTCATTAAAACTGACTGCATCCACGACAGCCGTATGCGTTAGCGATATGCCTTGGCAGCATCTTCATGATATTCTTGGTTGAGATTTTTGCTTTCAGATGGGGTACTTCTGTTCTCGCGAAGATTGGGATAGCTCACGGTGAGTGTGATGTTCATTTATCTGTTAGTCGTATGCCACCGGAAAGAGCGGGGTGTTTCTGCGCTGTCTTGAAACAATTGGCTCATCTTGGCGTTTCTCGAATCACCTTCATAATTTGCCTTGTTGCGCTTCAGTTGCCACAAGGTTTGTATACTGATTTCTGTACATAACTAGATGCACATGGTCACGGTCTCGCGACGGGTAGCCATGCGGCGCACGGACCCGAAGGGAACCATCCAATACCTTCGAGTAGCGGTACTTCTCGTTCGGATAGTGTCAAAGAGATTGTCGGCGACATAGAGTCACTGCCAGAGAAACTTGAACATCACCATGTTGATGGGCTGGGGCATGAACACGGATACAATCATGGACATGGTGGGATTGGTGGGGTGGCAGACTCTGCCATTGCACAGATCATTGGTGTTGCCATCCTAGAGTTTGGTGTACTGTTGCATAGGTTAGATCTCTCCTTAATGTTGACTACTTCGAGCTGTCACTGACCAAGTCATTAGTGTCTTCGTTGGGCTCACTCTTGCAGTCAACCCAGGCTTCAAAATCCTTTTTGTCGTGATCGTCTTCCATCGTAAGTCAAAGTGTCCTCATGACTTGGATGGATCTCTGAACTCGCTACCTTTATCCGTCGTTCAGAAACATTTGAAGGCTTGGGTGTCGGATCACGGCTGGCTTTCATGGAGCTTCCTCCAGCGTACAGCTACGTCCCCGTCCTAGGTGCATGCCTCTACGGGCTTACGACGCCCATTGGAATCGCAGCGGGCCTCGGTGTACGCTCGACATACAATCCAGATAGCACAACTGCAAGTATAGTGAGCGGCGTCTTGGACGCATTCAGCAGCGGTATCCTAATTTACACCGGGCTTGTGGAGGTTCGTGATGCTTGAGCTTTTTTGAGGATTGCTCCGTTGACATGGATGGCTGTCTGCAGCTTATGGCGCACGAGTTCATTTTCAACAAGGAAATGATCGAGGGATCGACTCGGAACTTGGTGTTTGCGCTCTCATGCATGATGCTCGGTGCGGGGCTGATGGCGCTGCTCGGTAAATGGGCATGACGGCCTTGCCCTGCTTCATTGTACATGATCCACATTCGCCTCCGCCGTCAGGGCTGATGCGTTTGTTGAACCGAGGCTGTATCAATATTGCCTGTGTCCGGGGCCTAGAGGCTCGCCCCGATGTGGATTTGGCCTAGGCTACCTGCATCTTAAACTGGATTTACACAACGGACCAACTACGCATAACTTATGCGGGTACGTACCCTACGGTGCGTATGCCTGACGTTTCGTCGTGGATTATGTAGCAGTGAAGCGAACCTTGTCCACCCTGTTGATTATGGTAGTTGTATCATGCTAGTGTAGAAGCAAAACAAGGCTACTTGGAAGGAACGGTCGTTGACCCCGACCGTTTATCGTGCGGCCAACATGCAGCCCTGACAAGTGAGCTAGATTGATACGAAGATGAGGTCGGTTATAATCTGAGCAGTGTCTAGGATGATGAACCAATGTCGAGCCCCGAGCTTCGAGAGATCATGAGGGGTTGTTTTCATGTCTTGGCCGTCAACAGTGTGTCAAGAAAAGCAGGTGCTATCCCTTGATGGCCGTCGTGATACTGGCAAGCGCTTAAGGTATCGGTGTGGAAAGCGATGAGTGTCGGCCTGGGTCCTCAAGCTGGAGACTCGGCCGTTGTCCGCGTTCGCAGCGAAAATTACACTCTGCCTTGTCTCTCTACAGTCAGGGATGAGGCTCATCATGATCTACACACATAGATGGGCTGGGGACCTGGTCACAGTCTTCGCCTAGCTGGATTTTGGCGGGAGGTTTGCTATTTGTATGAGATTACGAATTGGATCTTCCAGCACGAGTCACCGGAGAGGTTGCGACAATCAAGGAAACTCCCAGGTGGAGAAGGACCTCGCGACGGAGGGACAAGAGTCACGGACTGATCCAGAACTGGACGGGGGCGGCTACCCGCTGTCAAGCAGGGTAGACTAGCTTCTGCCAGTTCATGCAGATATGCAACTGTCTGGAGTCGTGGGGTATCATCGGCAACGCCGCGGCTGTCAATATCCTTCATCTGCGACTTGCGGGAGACGTCCGGCGTGCGCAAATATACGTTCGTGACCACGATGGCATTGTGAAAAAACAAAGCTGCTCCAAATAAGAATCGACGATAAGCCGAAACAACTATGAATACTGGCATCTGCGTCTGGACAGGAAGCGACATGAGTTTGGGTGCCGGATTGCTATTATGATGCCAGTAGTATCCAGCCAGTATTTGCCAGTTGAGACAAGCCAAACATCCACCGAGAGGCAAAAGGACAAAATTAGTAAACAGAATGCCGTAGGTTGCATGAAGAATCATCAATAATCTGTCCAGGGCGAGTCACTTGTCTGGGACGCTCTGTACGTGGCGACGACTAGCTATATTTGCCGCTGAGCGCGCGCGCTGAGCTCTTGATTTGGTCGTATGGTCTACCCACGCAGATATATCGTTTGAGACTAGATCTTCGAGTTTTAGTTGCTCGGTACATATCCGCGAAAATGCTTGGACTCACACCGGTCAGGAACAGGACAGTCGCAGTGATAGCCATGGGCACAAAGATTGTTTTCGTGCAAAATGAAATCAGGAATCGGATGTCACAGCTGATATCAGTGGATAAGCGTTCAGATGGATGATGTAGAATAGGAATTCGTCGGCTCAGATTTCACCGTCGTCCTTGCGGTTGGAACCAAGCCGACATTTCCAGTCTGCAAGGGAGGGTCGTCAGAACTAAGTTGTGCACCAGGCCCGTACCCCTCGTGTAATGCGAAAGCAGTATGCGAGAAAGACTCGCCTCGTCGGGCCGGAAGATTGTCTTCCCGTGGTTTTCTGCATGCCTCGATTCTGATGGTGTTGGTTGGGCAGCTGCATTTCCGAGGGTGTCAGCATCTGATGTCTCATGAGGTCTTCATTCTACCATCAGTCTCGAGCAGACGGAGCTGTAAACGTGCACAGGACGAGTATGTTTGCCATCGCAGATAGCAATGCCGGACGGCAGACACCAACACGAGACAGTATGTGTGAGTCTTGGCATTCGACTGCGAGGGTCCCCACTGGGCAGAGGTGGGGCGGATCGAGGGTGGTAATTGGGCAAGGGGAAAAGACAAGGACCTGCACAGTCAAACTCAAGGTTCAGCACGACATGCTTCCTCCCAGGCTTCGTCCAAACCCAATACGGCTGGCCGTTCTGCACACGCCCCAAATCATTCCGAAACGCAACCCTACCTCTGAATATAACCGACTGGCGCACTTAAATACTCCATCCTGTCCTTTGCCTCTGTCGTCGCCCACTACACGTTCTCTCCCAGGAGACAGGACACAGCCAAGACTACCAGAGTCATTGTCATCTTGCCCTCGAAAATATGTCTGCTAACGACTGTGGAAGCGGCGGCGGCGCCCAGACCTACACCGGTCTGCGAATCGCGTCCATCTTCATCATCTTAGGGACTTCCATGTTTGGCGCACTTTTCCCCGTCGTCGCTCGCCGAGTCCCTTGGCTGCGCGTACATATCCCATCGACCATGTTTCTGATTGCCAAGTACTTTGGTAGCGGAGTAATCGTGAGTCTATGTCTAGATAGCATAATACAATCGTCGAGCTTACCGTCATTAGGTTGCGACGGCTTTTATCCACCTTCTAGATCCAGCTTTACAAGAACTTAGTTCCCCGTGTCTGTCCCCGGCCTGGCAAGAATATGTGCGTCACATGGGCGTTGTCGAGATGGAATGCTAAATCCTCGCACTCATAGCCATATGCTCTAGCCATCTCGCTCGGCAGCATATTCGGAATCTTCGTGATCGAAATCTTTGCTTTTCGCTGGGGTACAGAGGTACTTCGCAAGGCCGGTGTTGGAGCTCCTCAAGGTGTGTATTCCCAACCTAGATGCAAGCTTCACCGTGATCCTACACGGAATTTAATCCATCTCCAGGACATATGCATGATATCGATGGAGGACGCGGCCAGGAGATCGAAAAAATTCAGGGTGACGCCGAATCCGGTTTGGAAAACTCCTCCCTCGGCATTGAGGAAACCGACAGCCAGGAATCAGCCATTGGACGAATCCTGGGGGTTATGATTCTGGAGTTTGGAGTCCTGTTGCATAGGTTGGTCAGCTGTCTCTGCATCTAGACATCATGCGTTTACTCAATGCTCAATGGATAACCCAGTGTACTAATCGGACTTACCCTCGCGGTCGACCCCGATTTCAAAATATTGTTCGTCGTCATCATCTTCCACCGTACGTCTCTCCATGCACTTCCCAAGTAGACCCGTACTTACGTCCTGACGCACCTACAGAAATGTTCGAGGGTCTCGGTGTTGGCTCCCGACTGGCATACATGGAGCTTCCGCGAAAATACGCAATGGTTCCGATCATCGGTGCTTGTCTCTATGGGATAACAACACCAATCGGCATTGCGGCGGGTCTGGGCGTACGCACGACGTACAATCCGAACAGCACTACCGCGAGCATTGTCAGTGGTGTGATGGACGCCTTCAGCTCCGGTATCTTGATCTATACTGGTCTCGTTGAGGTATGTATACATTGTTTCCTCCACACGAGCATTCATCTTGACATAACTTTCATCCATGTAGCTCATGGCGCATGAGTTTGTCTTCAATAAGAAGATGATCGAGGGGCCTACAAAAAATTTGGTCCTTGCTCTCGGGCTTATGATGCTTGGCGTTGGCTTAATGGCTCTTCTCGGGAAATGGGCTTGATTGTTTAGCTGCATGTGGTGTTAGATTGCCGTATATCATTTCCACGATGCTCTGATTCCTACTTCTGTTATGGCTCACCTTACGTTGCTCATGTCCTTCAAGTGTACATTCAATGCCAAGAGGTGTGCGATATGAGCCTTCTATGTTTATTGTGTAAATGAGTCAAATCAATATATCATTGGCTGAGACTTATGCTGTGCCTGACTTACAAAAGCATCTTATAGCTTGTCATTTTCCAAAAATTGAAATATGTGTAGTTCAAAAATATTTCACGAATGCTCGAAATCTTGCACGAAGCTGTAACAATGTTTTGCCAGAAACGAGTCATTGATGAGACTTCTGATCAACATCCTTTCAATTGAGAGATCATGAACATACTCGTGAAGATTTCCTGTAACCCACATACCTAAAATCCGCTCGACTGCGGCCCAAAAGCACGAAAAGTACATCAATTTAGATAGAGCAGCGAGCCCAATTCAAAGCTATGCAGCGAGTTTTAGAGATAGTAGATACTAAAGTCTTCGAGGTCAACCAATTGGGAGAATAGCATTCTAATTTTCGATGTCGGCGAAAGTGCGTCTGGACTCTGGACGCTGGAGACTCGGAGGTGGCACTCCTCAGCAACAGCTGAGTACGAATCTACTAGTTAGTACATATGTATGTGATAGGCTCACTGCACTGCAAGACATAGAAATCCTATGAAAATACTCGAGGATTTATATACAAAAAATCTTATGCTGGATAACCTTAATAAGTAATTCCAGGCCCGATCACAACATAAGCTATCCAGTGCATTACAAGGTCTAACTTTGATCTCACTCAATGCGTTATGAGCATACCAACTACCAGCTAGGATCACGCTTCTTATCGACCAGCTGCCGAATGATACCTAGTCCCCAGGTATTCTAGTCTGATGACTACCACTGATTCATTCGCATAGAAAGGATCAGTCATCTCCGGAAGTTTAGCGCCAGCTGATTGGGTCATGCTTGTCGTGTGCATCCTGCCGCTACCAGGCTTGTGCCATCTTATTCTCTCTACGACCCACCTGAGGCATTGTCGGACTCTGCAGCGCTACTTGAAGCGTGGCCAGGGTCGAGGCCTGCCAACAGAGTTGCCTGGCGCGACGTTCCAAACCCCTTATCGGTCCTTTCTGCTTTTGCTGACTGGCAATACTCTCTAAATTGCGGTGCGCAATGATTCCTCTACGCCGACCAAGAGCCAGACTACTTCCATTTGGCTTGGGAGCTGGGCTCTTCCTCTGGGTCGTCCTATATTTCTCCTGGCCTGCACTCGATCACCCATTACGTCCCCCTCCGTTCCTCGGTGGGTCACTGCCTAGTCATACCAGCAAGAAATGGGGCGGGCGCGCCGACGCGGTGCGGCGCGCATTTCGCCATGCGTATGCAGGATACAAGGAGTATGCAGGGGACAGCGATGAGCTGCTGCCCCTCACGGACGGGCAGGTGGACAAGTGAGTGTGACCCAGCCGTGTCGCATACCCCATGGCTCACACGCATGTCAGTTTCAACGGATGGGGCGTAACCTTGGTAGACGGACTTGACACCATGTGGATAATGGGTCTCCGTCGTGAATTTCAGCAGGCAATGCCTGTTGTCGCTAATATGACCTTCGCTCTCGGCAAGGTATGCGGTTGCCGCTTTAGCGTGAACCGTATCTGATCGCCCGCTGCTCTAGAGATCGTATGCTCCATTTTTCGAGACCGTAATCAGATACCTCGGAGGTCTGCTCTCCGCATATGCACTGTCCGGCGAGCCCATCCTACTTGCGCGCGCAGATGACCTCGGGAGATTGCTGCTCCCCGCGCTTAACACCTCGTCCGGGCTGCCTATGTATGCAGTCAATACTGTTACGTGAGTAGATGGCACGTCAGGCTAATATCGAGCGCCATTAATTCATTACTTAGAGGGGAGACCAGGGAGGGCTGGAGCCTGGGAACAGTGCTTTTGGCCGAAGCACTCAGCTGCCAGCTTGAATACAAGTACCTCGCGCATTTGACAGGCCGAAGGGAATATTTCCAACGTGTAGGTGTCGGAATAGAAATAGCTGTATGTTCAAGATACTCAGATATGCATCAGGTTGATCGAATCATGGACATCATGCGCGACGCTAACGTCACGGAAGGAAAATTCCCAACCAGATGGAGCTCGGGTAAAGCAGTGCCAAAGAATGGTAGGGTACCTGTTGGAAAAATGTACTGTAACGCTCAAGATTTACAGACCAGTTTTCCGTCGGTGCATTTGCTGACAGCGCGCACGAATACCTACTCAAACAGTGGTTACTGACGTCTAAATCCGAAACCAAAGCGCACGATTTGTGTATGTCGTCCATCCCCCCTCGAGTCACCAGCTGACGGTAGTCAATACCAGATGTGCGTGCTGCGACCAGCATCATCGAGAACCTGCTCTACATCACACCCAATCGACAGCTGCTCTATGTGACTGACACCACGCACGGTGTGCCCAGCCACACCTTCGAACACCTCTCATGCTTCCTCCCCGGCCTGCTCGCCCTAGGCGCGCACACAGTCGATCTGACTCCCCGTGATGCGCAGGTGCACCGCTGGGCCGCACAGGGCCTTGCATACACTTGTTGGATGTCGTATGCGGACCACGCGAGCGGACTAGGGCCGGACGAGATGCACATGGAGTCCATACCGAAGTCGGTCGAGAACCCGCATGGCGGGCTGTGGGTCGATCACCTCGAGCGGTGGGAGGCGGCGGGTCGAGAGGGAAACGTACCGCCTGGACTGAGGGAGGGCCCGCCGCGGGCGAAGGGCGAACGGGACTATGGCGCACGCAAGTCTGGATATTTTTTGCGTCCTGAGGTTGGCTGTCTTCATTTTGTGATGTGTGTGCACCTGTTGTTGATGATCGTGCGTATGTAGACAGTGGAGAGCTTCTATCTCCTGTGGCGGACAACGGGTGACGAGGTCTGGCGGGAACGGGGCTGGGCGGTGTTCCAGGCGATTGAGAGGGAGGCGAAGACGGAGAGTGGTTATGCGAGCTTATTCTCTGTCGAAGAGTCTCCCGCACCAAAGAAAAACGAGATGCCGAGGTACATCTTTCCCGTCTTTGTCCATGCATGCGGGTTCTGACAATCATAAATCGTATAGCTTTTTCATGGCAGAAACGTAAGTGACTTATGCACACTGTGGATACAAGTTGTTTGTAATAACTGACGTCTGGCCTAGATTGAAATACCTATATCTGCTCTTTACAGACGAAGAGCTAATACCACTAGATCAATGGGTGTTCAACACGGAGGCGCATCCTTTGCCTATTTTCAAGTGGTCTGACTGGGAGAAGGAGCTGTACAAGATACAATAAACGGCACCATGTAACATCATCTTGGAACTTTTTGTGGGTTTAATGGGTTTTCACATATCTATGCTTCGTCAACTGGTGTGAACGAGAGGCAGTTACTGCTCGTGCTCGTGAAGTTGCAGAATTGGCTCCGCTGAGCTACTTAAACTCAAAAACGGGCGGAGTATCATGCTAAGTGATCAAGTTCGTTCTAAAATCGCTTGCATCCTGTACATAAACAGAAGATATATCCTAAAGAAGACTTCGGTACATACCAACACAGTGTAATGACGGTTGGTTAGGCGAAGCACATCGATACTATTAGATTTAAGGTATCCTTTATCCGAGATAGAGCAGTTCCCATGAAGACTGGAAATTCGACAGCAACAATGTGAGTACCAGTGCCAAATCACTTTTGCTTTGCGGCACGCTCGGCCGCGACCCCCGCGTTCACGAGCTTTAGCACACGGAAACTCAGATCCACAACCATCAAGAGCGGAAGAAGGAAGAAGGGGATATAACTCGATAGCAACATGGTCCTCTGAGCGGGAGTGATGGACACTATATTGGCGGCGATGGTCTCAGGCGAGGTGAACGGGGTGGCAAGGAGGACCGTAACGCAAGGCAGCGCAGTGATCGTCGCAGAAGTGGCGTAGACCAGGAGGAGGACGTAAATGGAGCGTGAGTCTGGAGACAGCACACTCAGCAAAGGTACAATCATTGGAGAGGAGGGATATTTACCTTTCCACAACCCACGCATGCCAATAAAAAAGACAGGAAGTTGGAAGAATCTAAAGATCCGCAGAATGTCAACACTTCACGATACATCCAGGTCCAATTGTACGACTGACGCTTCGACCATTACAAATGTGTGGAACCAGACGAAGTCCTCTTTCCGTCCAAGAAGACCCATCACACCTCCAATTAAGGGGTCACCATAATTTGAGATGTAAAAATCGGTAAGGGCCTTCATGAACGGGGGCACGAGGGAGGGCGGGTATATGACCTGCAAGTCCATGAGTATCGTGGCCGTTGCGTGCATCTGACAGGACGGAATATCAATGCCCGTAACTTGACATCTGAACAGCAAAACAAACCGCGAAGAAGGAGAAGTATAAAAGGTCCAAAGGACGCGAAACGAGAGATTTCTTGGACATTTTGGTAGATTCTGAGTTTGCTGCCGGTGGTCGCGCCAGGGTGTGCGTCGAGAGTCGTTGGCGGTGCGGATTAGGTCGTTCAACTACTGATTATCTATACTGCGAGACAATATGGAAAGTCGCCGACGTACAATCCTCGCTGTTGGCCACAAGAACACGGACAGTGAAAGAGGAAGGCAAGATACGGTCCTACCCATGATGGGCGCTCCGCAGGCGTGAGAGGTCGAGTTTGGGGCCAGGATTGAATTCGCTCATGTCGTTCTTTCCCTACTCTCGTCTATTACTGGGCCCATCACAATCTGTCGTTGTTTCGGGTCCTCATATTGAAGTCATCGACTCTCAGTGGGTTATGAAGTCATCTTTCTTCACCGTTCCTGCCTCAATAGTTGAATCAGAAATGGCGAACTCATCTACTCAACCGTAAATTTGGGAGAAGCAGAGAAGGCGTCTCTGCTCAAGTCAGGCCCCATACGTTGCGCTGCAGTAGATGAAGCATATACCCACGTCGCGACTGCCGGGGAGGACAAAAAATTGAAAGTGTGGCAAACCGATGGGTTAAAACTTCTCAGCGAAAGGTGAGTCGTCCTATTGTTTCTTGCCCACCAGACCCTGACGTGAGCCTTATTCAGGGAACTCCCAAAAAAGCCGACCTCTATCAACTTTACTCAAGATGGCCAAACTATTTTGGTATCCGACAAGTTCGGTGACATATTCAGGTTCGTGTAAAATTGACGCGAAATTCAGAGCTCTTTGTTGAAATATGAAACTTCAGCTATCCCTTACATCCAAATATTTCTCCTTCGTCTACAACAGAGTCACATACAGATGGCTCCAAACGTGGAGCTCTTACATCCCACGAAAACCCCTCCGACGGTGAACTCGTGCTCGGTCATGTCTCCCTCCTCACATGTTTCCTCCTTTCGTCCGACGAGAAATATATTATCACTGCGGATAGAGACGAACATATCCGGATTAGTTGGTACCCGCAGGGTTATGTGATTGAGAGCTATTGTTTAGGACATGCGAGGTAAGTCGTGTTACAGCTGACATATTCTTCCCCGAATAATCTGCATAATATCAGATATGTCTCTGCCATTCATATCCCCTCCTTTGCGCAATCAATCCTCGTCTCAGGTGGCGGGGACCCTATGCTCAAGTTGTGGAACTGGATGACGGGTGGGCTCCTTTCGGAGATACCAATCATGGAGGCCGTTGAGTCGTTTATCAAGGTGAGGGCACCGAGCAGAAGGCGGGGGCAAGGAGATGACGATGAACTGGACGGAACGGATGGTGCAGGAAATAACACCAAGAGACACAAGAAACGAGGGAAGAAAGGCAAAGGGCAGAAGGAAGAGACAAAGGCGATGGAGGGGACACCGGATACAGATGGAGGGGACGACAGAATGGAAGGGGGTGAGGGCAAGGTCATTCGACAAGGCAGCAGTCCCCCAATAGAACAAGCTGCAGCGGAGACGAACGCTACTGATGGGCCAGATAGATTGGTTCTTGTGATACACAAACTTGAATCTCTCGATTTAGGGGATCGCAGGCGATACTTAATATTCAGTGCGGTTGGGTATGTCGCGGTCACCTTCTCTTCACTCTGAGCTAACTCATATCTTGTCAGAGCAACCGCTCTGTTTTATTGCAAGTTTCCCGAATCCGACGAGACTTCGCCGCCTTCTGTGCACGCTCTGGACTTCGGCAGCCCTGTCACTGATTTTACGTTCGGCGCGCACAACACAATCTGGGTATCGCTGGATTCGTCTCAGGCTCTAGAGGAACATATCAGTGAGCGGGGTGACGCTTTTCCCAAAGCACACCTAGTCGAGTTGGTGACATGGGTATCAGATATGGTAAGTCATGAAACGGGGTACGTATTATCTCTCTGAAATTCGCGCTTTCTTAGCCGGTCATTGTCTCAGAGAGTGATGCGCCTCCATTGTTATCTTCTCTACGCACCACATGTGTGATACCTGGTACGTTCTCGCTTACCCGATCCCCGTAGTTCTTGCTAACACGCTGTTCAGCATCGCCCGCCGACTTGAAAGTGCTCGATATCTATTCTGCCCTGTCATCCATGCCAAAGAATATCGATCCCGAACATGATCCTCTGAAGCGAGATGTTCTCGCCGAAGCTGATGCCGATATAGAAGGCCCCCCAGGTCCCAGCGCGGGCAACGATACGAAGGGCAAGGGCAAAGGTAAAGGTAAAGGTGCCCAAAAGAAAGAGCTATCGCAGAGAGAGGTCGCGCGGTTAAAGAAAAAGCGCGCTGTGGCAGAGAGGTTGCAGGAGCATGAGAAATCGGCCGGCCAGACTCAGAGTCCAGCCGATGTGGCAGCATCGCCCGGCGTAGGGGAGCAGGAGAGAGGACACAAAAGGGCAAGATCCGATACTGACATAGTACCTCAGTCTGCTGGTAGCGAGGTGCAAGATGCAATGGATGAGTCGTGACATTCGCAGGGGTCGCTTTCGGTCGTAAGGACCAGAGGTTCGAAATATCAGGAATTGATAAATTTTTGCGTTCCACAGGAATCCTCCCTTCTGTTCTTTCCCTGTGTCATATAAACCGCCTCTGATGCCAGCAGATTGCAGCGATTAGAAGGCAGAATTATCGTCGTTAGTCATAAGGTCCTCACTGCGACGGCGTATATCCTAGAGTGAGTACAACTTCGCAGGTCCGAATGAATACGTCGTCTATTCTCAATGAGCGTAGGACTGGTCACTTTGGCTCACTATGTATACGCTCTAAAATAATAGAGCTCAGATCAGGAGGTTGGCAGTCGGTGTCTGATGTCATCGACTACACTACTCAAATCAATCAGCTGTATTTGACTCAAGTCTTGTCCAGCGATTGAGGACAGCCGAGTCCAGACGACAGAATATCTGCACTTTCTCGATAAGATTTAGATCCAATCATGACGCGGTCACATGATCGCGTTCGAACGGTGCTGCAGGCGACGGATGAAGTTATTGCAATTGTGCATGTAACGAGTGTTCGACGAACAGCGCTTCGATTACGTACACCTCAATTTTCCTCTTATTCTACCGTGACTAGTAGGCTTAGGAGACGACGCGGAAGCCGCGCACTCGATTCGAATGACATTCCTCGTCCTGCAGACCACAATTCTCAGAGCTTCCGAGTCTCAGGCTGTATTAGTGAAAGCGGCGCTATGAAATGGAAAACATTCATTGGAAACGGAATGTTCAAATTCTGGCAGAGATCAGCGTATGGAGAGGCAGACAGCAGTCACGAACGTTTATTTCTTGCGCCGAACATAGACGGACGATCTCATTCAGCGCAAAATGAGTATCAACTCACGGTTGACAACGACATCATCATGATGGCGACAACACGCTATATCGACGTTCGCGCAAATTTCAGCAAAGTCACCCTTGTACATTCGGACGGATGACAAACGATGTTGGAGCCGTTGGTACGGCGCACTGAGGTGATGATCTTGTAGTCGGTGACCCCTTTTTTGCTTACTTTTGGGCAAGCCGATCAAATATTTGCGGGGTGCAAGGGGTAACACGGGTTTGTGAATAAGGGTGATCTTTGCAGGATACGATGTGTTAGTATGTTCACGTGAACGACAAATGAAAAAAAGGCACTCCCTGAAATACTACATCTCCTCGTCTACATCGTCGCAGGTGTTTCCACAGTATATTCCAAACGCCCCTGAGTCCGAAAAGATCGTTGACTTGCGCCATTACGCGCTATAGATACTGAATGGTTTTTCGAGGCCGCGATACTCGAGTAGGATGAACTGAACGGCACAGGTGAAGCCACGCCTACCTGAGGGTCGGTTACGCGAGATGAGGACAAGCGCACTTTAGCGAGGTGCAGACCAGGGGAACGCCGCAGCTGTGTAAGTGAGCACAATTGTTGAATACAATCTGCTTTGAATCACTTATACAGGATCGGAGAACATCGAATATTGTCATGGCACCGCGACATCCTACACCCTCAAAATCTTCCGCAGTGTACCACAACAAAAACGCTGCACTCAATGGTCTACGAAGCAGTCAATGACAATGTGGCGTTGGGTCCACAATTAGTACAGCATCCAGAACTCAGTGGGATGACAAATGCGCATTGGCATCACAATCTGGTCTGAGGCCGTACAATCTCCTGGAACGCCCTACGTAAATCGCTCTTGAGATCCTGTTGACATCGATATTCGGTGAGCAGGGTTGGCCCAGATATAGTAGCATGAGACGGACCTCCAAGTCCTCCACACCAACACTAATTCTAACAAGACGAGGATCCGCAGTTGGGTCAACGGAGCTACGCTGCTCGATGAGAGACTCTACACCTCCCAGACTTGTCGCGGGCTAGAGCACACATTTATCCAGCTTAATTAATGCGTCAAATGAAGGTAACACTCACTATGAAATACTTCAAAGAATGTGGTAGAAGCCTCGCGTATTCTGGGTCAGTCAGCTGGCTCATCTGTTAGCTATAGGCCGGCAAAATAATGACAACTTGCTCACGAAAATGGAAAAAGTAGGATTCCATCCACCCTCCAATTGGACTTCAGGATTAAATCCTCTGCCGTCTGTGCCTTGGAGACTCGAATGCCAAACTTTGTCAATTACACCGGCCGGTATCCCGTCGTACGCCTTTCCCTAGAAGAAGCATCTATTCACTGAGTGTGATATAGACAAAGGCTGTTAGAACGTACTCCTGCAGCCAGACTCAGCCAGCGAGCAAGGCCCTCCGCGCTCTCCGACTGACGAGGCACACGCAAATGTAATGTGCGAAGGGAACGCAGGAGCAGCCACGACTCGAGGGAACCCATCATGGACCCAAGGAAGGTGCGATGCGTCCAGAGCTGCGACACAAATATGAGTTAGGTAATCTAGTTTTTGAAACACATAGGGCCACTATACTAATGCGAGGAAAATAACAATGCCATCGCCGCTTATCATTGTCCACAAACAGAAGACCGTTCATGTCCAACTGGGGGAAAATCATTTCATATATAGAATGGGAGACCAGGACGTCCAAAATTGATTATCGTAGATAGCAAGGTCACTCACCGTCTTCCATTCCTCTCCAGTCTGCGCAACGAGAACGCCACAAAGCAGATCAGAGTGTCCACCGAAGTACTTACTGCCTTGATTATCATGATGGCACTTAATTGCAATGTATCAACGTAGCCAGGCACACATACCGCTGTGAAGGACCATGTCTGCTCCCCATTTGAAGGGGTACTGAAGAGGTGGAGGGGCGAAAGTCGAATCGACTACTAGCTTTCCCCCGGCTGCATGTACCTGTCATTGGTGAATATTAGCCTATGATGAGAGTAGTATAGGTATCTGAGTACTTTGTCTGCGTAGAATTTGATATCCCTAGTCTCAAGACGTTCAGTAATCGTCTCCACGTAGATAACCGAACAGCACGACTCGCCTAGCTTCGCCTGTTGGGTTGAGGGGCGTTTCTAGCCAACACAAGTCACCAGGTTGAAACTGATCATCTAATCCGATAATTGGCAAGTTGCCTCCGCGGCTATGCTGGTATACTGCGATGGTGTTATGAAATCCATGGTATCCGCCAGAGATGGCGATACGTTTGGGGTGGAAGTAAACTAGGGCCTGTAAGGGGAAATAACCAAACGCTGTCAAGAGACGTAAACATGGCGTGAATCATGGCTCACGGCATACGAAGCGGCTAGCCCGGATGCGTATGTCATCGCATATCCACCCTAAGATTCGATGATGATTAGCACATCTTTGCACAATAGCCTCAGCGGAACGGGCTTAGCTCACGTTGATTTTACTGAGCACATGCTCTGCGCGCGTGCTGACATTCTGCGTGCATCGTGAATAAACGTGCCTCGTCGGATTCCGAAAATCAAAATCCTCTGGGTTGAGCGGAATATTGTCTTCGGTTAAAGGGGCTCTGAAGGCTTGTCCAAGCTTGAGTTAGCTTTGCGTACTGATTTACTCGAGAGCCGCTTACTGGATGTCACAGAGATGGATGGAGCTACTTCGGATCCGTGAGCGAACTCGTCGTCGCCGTGAACGAGTACGGTTCCAGTCAGGCGCTGGTGCATGGTTTTAGAGGTCATAGTAGTCAACCTGGCGGTCAACGAGACAACCAGGAAGCGAGAGGAACTGGTCGCACCAGATGGTCAGTTTACATGATATTTATATTTACGACGGGGCCACGCTACCGCGCGATTCCCGAGTGAATCGGCGTGTCCCCGGTCTCGTTCTGGGCAAATTGGTCAGAGTTGCAGGAATTAGTCACTCCAAGGAGGGTTCTGGCCGTAGCCCACGGCCGCGGGGACTTGCACAGGCATTTCCGGGGTTCTATTGATTCGAGTTGAGGTGAATTTCAAGTTCGCGGGTGGCGCGTGAGAGATCATCTTATCTATAAGTTATATAGGTTCGGATCAGTTTTGTTGGCGTGACGCTCGAGGTCAACGAATCTTCAAGTTCGACATCCTCAAGCCTTCGCCAACATCGCGCCACTGTGCGTCCTTCTTGTCATCTTGTCACTCCTTTTCCGAGTCGGCCGTAAAAGCGTGGTAGACTGTGCTGCTGCATGTCTTTCAAACGCTCATGACGTCGGTGCGACCAGAGGAGCGCGTTGGCGGTCCATGCGGCGGGCATTGCACGCCGTGCGAGAGGGGAAGAATGCGGTTGTTGCCCGATGCAGGATCTGTGAGTTTTGTTCTTCGTTTGTGAGGTCGCACGCACGGTACAGGGCTACAGATACCAATGGACCAGTGCTTGTGCGCTCGGGCGGCTTCCTCTTTACTCTTTTATACCCATCTTGGAGCGTTGTCGCGTTTGTGTCTCCACGACTCTGCGGATGTCCACAGACTGCCGTCATGCACATCGCATGCGCCCTCGCTGGACATGTGTAGGGAGACTCGATCGTGCAGCGGCGCATGGCGGAGACAGATTCTTCGACCCGTGCAATGCGAAGTTCGGCAGCCTGCTCAGCAGCCGCTTTTGGTGAACCTTGCGCGCACGCCATGTACGCTTGTGACACTCCGAGAAATCAATCACGCGACATTGGCTGATGCAGCGAGCGGCATCACAGTGCTCAGGAATCTACGTGGATGTCTAGCAAATCGCGTATGCGGTGAGCCGGCGTCCTTTGTTGACACCCCTGGCGTCCCCCAGATCTGTCAGCGTCAACAAGTGGTTGTGCTCTGTCGAACCTTACAGTTCGTGTGCCTGTATTCACGGGCGTTCACGCTTTCAATAACTTTGACAGTCTCGAGGAATATGCATCATCACTCGCGTTCATGGCTCAGGACAACCATCCATCCACTTCCGCTCAATTCGTTCGGTGTTCATGCTCTCGAAACGCTTGATGCAATGGAATACAACGTCCAAGGCGATAAATATTTAGCATTGCGACGAACTACAGGCCCTTAATCAATAGTCTCCCTGTCCGATTGCTTGTCTTCTACTACTTCTAGTTTCGAAAAAGCAGGTCGTCATGAATAGACATCAACATATAGCGTCGCAGATTGGCCCAATCTCCGTCCTGTGTGCTTGACAATGTTCTGCCCCTCATCCCGACCGCCTGCATCAAACAGTTTCAAAAGTTGACATCGACGCATCGTCGATGTAAGTGCCTTCGTGCTATGCATGAGTAGTTAGCCAAGTATTCGGGGCAATCACAAATACTTTCCACTGACCATTTCCTACTCTCGTCTTCCCCCGCTAAGATCTGCCGGCTCGACATCCTCGCTGGCCATTGCAACGCGGCGGGTTGACTCAGACTCGTCATCCTCATCGATTAATGACTCATCATCTGTGGGCAGATGTAAACCATCATCAAGAGGTCTGCCCAAGTCTACAATGAAGCTATTTGCAAAGTTCAAGCTCATCATCTGTGTGCCGTGCAATGCCTCAGAATTGAGCAGGGAGGACATATTCAAGGTATGTGTGGATTTAGAGAGAGTTCGGAGATTGAGCATGAATCGTGAGATGAAGAGGTTAGGTACACTGGAAAATGAGTTGAAACATGCACTAATGAGGATCACATAAATTGCTTACATGATCAAAAATATGTCTGGATAGTCAGGTGCAAACTAGACACATTTGAATCAGCAGTGGTTGGGAATATATATATAAATACTTACTAATGAATTTTTGCCCTGATATATAGAGATAATCACTGAGATCTGCAGTACAAGATCAATTCTGTATGTGGAAATGGGTATCTTTTTGTTGAATGTACTGCAATAGTAAAACAATCTTACAAAAAGTAAGCAGTACCTGCCATACAAGTGCTTCACTTTTTATAAATGTGCTGATTATGGGTAGAAACTTACCATCTCTGAAGACAATCAATATCATAGATTGCTTGAAGCCACAATATTGAGACATCAAGCCAAATTGAAATGTCTGCTTCCAGGTAATCACAATAATGATTATATCAGATATAACAGGTGCAACTGAGCCTATAACAAACACTTCAAGTATATAAGCAGCATACAAACTGTCATAAGTAGAAGAAAGCAGTGCACTTACATCTGTTTGCATGATGCAATATTAGTGTATATCATTGCATATGAACATTCTCAAGTGAATTGAAACACTTACTCAAAAAATGTAGAGAATGCCAGATCAGAACTTATTGTACATCCCATGAATGGACCTGGGATTCCAAATTCAGCAGGAAGTGATTTGGTATTTATATACTGCATTAGCATAAGAGGATGTCAATGCCTTGTAGAAGATTAGTACAAACTATGTTCAGAACCACAGGCACAAATGAAATCACAAGTACAAGCAAAGTAAGCAGTTTATTGAATCCACTGATAGCATATGTTCGCAGTGTAGCAAATACTGTATATAAGACATTCAGTAGTATATCAAACAAGAACAGTGCATGACAAACCTGCCATAAGAAACACTGCTATATTTCCTGAAATAGATTTAAGGATAAAGGTAGCCTCACAACTGATCTTGTTACTGTAAGATCATAATCTAAATGTTGCAAACAAACCTCAACTCCACAGCAGCATGAGCTTCCACAGAAAGAATTAGTATCATGAGAGAACTCACTGGAACAATAGTCACAGGAGTAGCATCTACTATATTCAGTATTGCATTGAACAAGAGACTGTATCTGTTGAAGAAAAATAGGACTGTTGCCCCAGACACAGGATGCAACCAAAACAGATCAACTTCAAGAGAGAAGGTGATGATATGGTCATAGACAACAAGGGCTATTATGCTAATATTCCGTGAATGCCCCAAATGCATATGAAAGACCTTATACCAGAAGATGTGTAAAAGCAAATATTGCCTAGATAGCTTGTGATAGACTCTAAGTTACAAGTAGTTTCTTACATAGTCACAGGTACAGGCCACTCACATACCATCAGCCACAGTTGCCACAGATGTATCAGAAGACATGTCGAGATAAAGCTTGTGCGCACGCAGTGAATGTGGGGGATATGTTGAATGGCCGAGGGGCGAGAAATGGGGCTCATTATATACTATCGTGATTTGGAAATATGCTCACTGGAGACCCGCCCGTGTCCATGGAGTCCGACTTGAGCGGTTTAGAAGGATGCTTGCGAAGTTAGCACTTCTATCGCAGATGTGTAGCTGAGATAGCAAGGGCTGTAACATCAGGGTAAGTGAAAATTTAGAACTCAACATGTACCGACATCCCAGGGCGGAAACGTTCGTAAGCCGCTGAGAGCCGTTAGCGAAAGTGCAGAACCAGTAAATGGTCGATACGGAGGTCCTGGCATTCGCACAGGTTCTTCTGCGGCGCTTTGGACTGATCGAGGAAGTTGCGCGTCATTGAGCGTGTACCTGGGATTCGTCTGGAGGGTCACCATACATGAACCAATCGTGTTATACAATCAGACTCGTGAAGCAGCGGCCGCTGATCTGCATAGAAGGCCTAAACATCAACGACCACATGCTATTGCTTGACATACGTAAGTGTAAACCGGATGTGGGGCCAATAGAGCAGCTCTAAGTACGGTGGGGAATCGACACCCATCATTGAGCGTGGACTGATGTCCCGCTACGGTCGACTTTGTCCATCATTGAGCGTAGACAGATGCCCCGTTGCGACCGACTTGCAATCAATCAAGCCTCCGCCATGTCTTTATCACCCAACGTGGGCGGCTTGCTGATGGACGGAGGTCGTACCTGGAGATTTATATTAATTGTTGCCTCATTGCAACGTCGTCGAGCGGTCAGCGTTGAGGGATTACATCAGGATGCAGGAGACACACGCACAAAATCAAAAGGCCCCGTTACCATGGTCCCCCGGTGAGATGCAAGAACTACTACAAAATGGACGTTTTCAAGTCGTTGCGTGTCTCAGGTAAGATCTGATGTTCACGGTCGATCATTTCCGAAGCGCTCGGCGGTTAGCTTGCACTCAAGTTTCAGCCTGTTCCAACTCGCACTCACTGACTCCTGCCCCCACTCGGCCATGAGTTTTACACTCGAAATGCGTCGCTCGCGACGCTGTACCGCGCGATTCCCGAGTGAATCGGCGTGTCCCCGGTCTCGTTCTGGGAAAATTGGTCAGAATTCCAGGAGGTAGTTACTCTAGGGAGGGTTCTGGCCGTAGCCCACGGCCGCGGGGACTTGCGCAGACATATCCGGGGTTCGATTGATTCGAGTTGAGGTGAATTTCAAGTTCGCGGGTGGCGCGTGAGAGATCATCCTAATAGTACAAGTCATGTAGGCCCGGATCGGTTTTGTCGTCGTGACGCTCGAGGTCAACGAATCTTCAAGTTCGACATCCTCAAGCCTTCGCCAACATCGCGCCACTGTGCGTCCTTCTTCTTGTCATCTTGTCACTCCTTTTCCGAGTCGGCCGTAAAAGCGTGATAGACTGTGCTGCTGCATGTCTTTCGAACGCTCATGACAGTCGGTGCGACCAGAAGAGCGCGTTGGGTTCGCGCGGCGGGTATTGCACGAGAATGCGGTAGTTGCCTGATGCAGGATCTGTGAGTTTTGTTCTTTGTTTGTGAGGTCGCGCGGGCGGTACAGGGTTACGGATGCGTATGGGTCAACGCCCGGGCCGCCGTTCGTCTCGGCTGCACATGTCGAGCTGGGCGGTAGAGCAGTGGCTAGTCTCGTCTGCTCCTGCCAGCCGCATCTCCGTTTGTCTCGGTGTTGCAACGACATTATTGAAGATGGTGGCTAAGCAAGGCGCTATTCACAGTGGACCTTGGTTGTTCCTATGCCGAGCCGTTCAGCCACCCAGCGTGTACACGCCTTCAAGAACTAAATACTCTCCGTCGAGTCTCTGACGTCGCCCCCTTCCCCATCACCCGATCCGCACTCTATCAAGTTACCGTCCTCGTCATGCGCCTTTCTCGCGCAGCCTTCCTCCACCAACGTTAGAACCTTCCCGCCGCAATCGTTGCTCCCCGGTAGCCGTGCGTCACATCGTGAGATGCTCAGTGCTCCTGCGATGCCTAAGCTCCCATTCTCAGCTCGCCTAGCCGCCCTGTGCCGCTCAAAGTCAGGAAGCACGCTGCGGCGGCTCCCACCTGCCCCCAGACATCTGCGCGCGGTGCATGCGAGTCTGCTCGCTTATACCCGCGTGTTCGACTGCATCCCCCGGTTCCACCCGCCTTGGGTATTCCTACCGCACCGTGCGTGCCTCTCAGTCGCGTCTGGCCTTGCTGCACTCGTTGCGAATCTATAAAGCGGTCTAATTTGCCTCTGCTCCCCGCTGTTCCTGGGAGGCCGCTCGCCCCGCCGTGCTTCCAGTGCCCTCGCAAATTCTGCACGGCAACAAATCTGCTTCATGTGCGCGAGGGTCTCAAACGAGCTATCCACGTAATGATAGCCCCATGACCGGGACCCTGCGAGGGTCAATTTACTATATCCTCATTGTAGAGGGGAGATGGCCTCGAGTGCTTGTGCGTTCGGGTGGTTTCTTATTTATTCCTCTTTCATACCTGCGGTCGGAAGAGCTGTATATCGGGCCAACTCTGAGACGGCAATCTTGGGGCGTTGTCGCGTTTGTGTCTCCACGACAGCTCTGCGGCTGTCCATCATCCGCTATCATGCACATCGCATGCGCTCTCGCTGGACATGTGTAGGGAGACTTGATTGTGCAGCGGCGCATGGCGGAGACCGACTCTTCGACCCGTACAATATGAAGTTTGGCAGCCTGCTCAGCAACCGCTTTTGGTGAACCTTGCACGCACATCATGCAAACTTAACTGCCAGCACCCCTAGCATCCCCCAGAGCTGTCATCGTCAACAGCTCGTTGTGCTTCGTTCAATTTTACAACTCGTGGGCCTACGTTCGCGGGCGGTCACGCTTGGAAAACATTGACAGTCTGGAGGAATATGCGTCATCACGCGTTTATGGTCCAGGACAGCTGCTCATCCGCGATCCGCTCATTTCGCCTGGCGCTCGCGCTTTCGAACGCTTGATACAATGGAATACAACGTCCAAGCCTCCAAGGTGATAAATATTTGGCGTTGTGATGGACTACAAGCCCTTAATCAACAGTTTACCGGTCCGATTGCTTGTCGTCTACCACTTCTAGTCTCGACAGAGCGGGTCCCCATAAATAGACGTCAGCATATAGCGTCGCAGATTGGCCCAATCTCCGTCCTGCGCGCTTGACAATGTACTGCCCCTCACCCCGACCGCCTGCATTCAACAGTTTCAAAAGTTGACGTTGACGCATCGTCGATGTAAGTGCCTTCGTTCTATTTATGAGTGGTTAGTTAAGTATTCGGGGCAATCACAAATGCTTTCCACTGACCATTCTATCTATCTGTCTTCCCCCGCTAAGATCTGCCAGCTCGACGTCCTCGTTGGCCATTGCAACGCGGCGGGTTGACTCAGACTCGTCGTCCTCATCGACTAATGACTCATCATCTGTGGGCAGATGTAAACCATCATCAAGGGATCTGCCCAAGTCTTCAACGAGGCTAGTCGCAAAGTTCAAGCTCATCATCTGTGTGCCGTGCAATGCCTCAGAATTGAGTAGGGAGGACATATTCAGGGTGTGTGTGGATTTAGAGAGAGTTCGGAGATTGAGCATGAATCGTGAGATGAGGAAGTTAGGTATGCTAGCAAATTGGTTGAAACATGCTCCCATGAGGATCATATAAATTGCTTACGTGGTCAAAAATATGTCTGCGTAGTTAGCTATAACCTAGAGGCATTTGAGTCAGAAATGGTTGGAAATATATAAAAATACTTACTGATGAATTTTTGCCCTGATATATAGAGATAATCACTGAGATCTGCAGTACA